AGCGGACTGTCCTCCTGCTGATAGTCCATTCGTTGATGGGTTGTTCATCTTACCGGACGCTCCAGTACACATTGAGATAACTGACTCATATGCCTCGGACGACATTGTTGACCCTCCACAAATGGAGAGCGAGTCACGGACTCCTGGGTCAGAAAAGAATAGGCGAAAGAGGACAAGGAAAGTGCGCAAATCCTCCGCACCCAAACCGAGAGATGAGAATTCGCTCAAGATGCAATCGCCTGAGCGGGAAACACCACCTGGTGATGAAATTCCCTCAGTTTCACCTAAGGTTGTGCAGGCAGGGGTGTAAAACCCCATATGTCCCCATCGCATGCTAATGAAACTGCGGTGCCTACTCCCAACACCTCCTGTCTTCCGGGGGTACAGATCGTGGAGATGGGCATGGACGTTGAGCCACGGGCTTCTTCGCCTGCAAAACGAATGAAAATTCGGAACAGAACTGCCCGTACTCTTCAGGCAGGTACGAAAAGCGTCAATGATGACGGGACAAACAAGCTGGCGCGTAAGAGGTACGCTACAGTTGCTTCAGCGTCGTCTGATAACTTGCGCCCAGTCTCATTGCCTGCGCTTAAGCCGGTTGCTGTTCATCTAAATTCCAAAACCCGTGTGGTAGATACACCCCGTCGAGGTGATTCTTTCATGGATAGCAACGTGATATTCCGTAATGCAGTGGAATCCACTGCCGCACTTCCTTCCGAACGTACGTTACATGACTTACAGTGGTTTAAGATGTGCGTAGCGAAGCTTCTTCCCCCTGGGTTTCCCGGTGTTACTGTCAGGAAACTGACTAGATTGGGTAACGTCCCAGTTAGCGTCCCAAACCTTCGACCGCGCTTACTTGTAGTCTTATCCACCCCGGAGGAACGCAGCGCGCTGTTGCGGTTTACCTTCAAACTGAAGGGTACTAATGTTAGGGTTCAGCCAGACCTCCAATTAGCGGATAGGCTGACACTGAGAGAGGCCATTAAGGACCTCAAAACCGGGCGAGCGGCCGGTGAACAAGGTCTCCGGTTGGTGGGTTTTCAGATGGTCAACGGGCGGTCTGTTCCTGCCCTACCAGTGTCAGTACTGGTAGCGCACGACCCCGGGCTGGACATTACGAGTACCTTCAGATAGTGCTGAGCAATGTGCGCAGCTTAAGGAATAAGATGTGCCAGATATGTTTGCTTGTAGATGTGTCTCATCCCGATATACTTGCATTCACTGAAAGGTGGCTGTCTCAGGACATCACGGACGGTGAAGTACATCTTTCTGGCTACGCACTATTTAGATGTGATCGCTTCCTTGGCCGACAAGGCGGGAGCGTTGCGCTTTACGTTAGATGTGAACTTGACGTTTCACGTACCTACATGTTTCAGCCGGCAGATAAAACTGTCGACGCTCTGTCGGTAGTGATTAGCACTTCCTCAGCTCAACTTACAGTTGTACTTGTGCATAGAAGCCCTGGGAGTGCGTCCAAAGTGGTGCTTGACTTTATTCGCTCCCATTCCGCAAACAGGTGTTTGGTGCTGGGGGATTTCAATCTACCAGATGTTTGCTAGGCAGATCTTTCTTGCAACTTAGTGGAAGGTACGTTCGGTGCAGATCTTCTTGAGCTTACGCTACAAGTACCGTTGCATCAGTTCGTGGACCTCCCCACTAGGTACATGGATGCCCAACTACTGTCTATTTTGGATCTAGTGTTTGCCAAGTCACTAGACTTCGTAGGGGACATCACTTACAGCCCTCCCTTAGGTGCTAGTGATCACGTTTGTTTATCGTTCAGGTGTACTCTGACCAGGCATCGCCACAGCATCGCCAAGCCATTTCCAAACATATGGCGCGCTAACTATCAGCGATGCGTATCATTGCTTCTGGCTTGCGTTGCGAAATCTCCGTGGTTGATACGTTTTAGGCTGCGTGGGATAAATTTAAGTCTTATCTCACGGAAGTGTCTACTCCCTACATCCCGCTTACGAGGAGAAAGGAGACACGAGCGCGGCCGCCGTGGTAAGTACCTGCTCCAGAAGCGTTCTAGGTGCTGGAGGACCTACCGTGCGGCTCCATCAACTAGCACCTATGATAGATACCGCGAGACTAGAAATAGCTGTAAACAACACTGAAGGAAACCTCGGCTGTTGTACGAAAAGGAATTGCCTGATGGAGCTTCGGAAAATCCGAAATTCTTCGCTTATGTTAAGGGACGTTGTGGTTCGAATTCGTTAATTCCAACTTTGATGCGGGCCGATGGAACTCGTGCGTATGCGGACTCAGATAAGGTTCATGTACTTGGGGAGCAGTATGCAGGCGCTTTTGTACTTGAGGCCGCGTTGACTAGCTTTGAACTTGTCCCCAGAGTACCTGAGGATTCTTATTTAGCTGAGTTTACTGTGGTGGAAACGTAAGTCCTTAAACTGCTGCAAAAACTGAACCCTTCCAAAGCAGCTGGACCTGGTTCAATTCACCCGAAGCTTCTGCATGAGTTGGCGGTGGAACTGAGTGGACCGCTGACGATGGTGTTTTAGAATTCATTTGACAGCTGTCCATTATCTTCTGAATGGAAGAAGGCTGGCATCTGTCTTATCTTCAAATATGGCGACAGTAGTCTGACTAGTTAGTCTGACCAGTTAGTCTGACTAGCCTCGTGGTCCAACTACTTGCAAAGCTGGTGTGAGATTCGTTGCAAGGTCACATGAATAGATTTAATCTACTCAGTAGTGCACAACAAGGATTTCGGAAGGGGTTTTCATGTCTGACGAATTTTCTGGTTGCTCGTGAAGCCTGGGCCGAGGTAATGAACAATGGCCACGTAGTGGATGTGCTTTCGTAGACTTCTCGAAAGCATTTGATAAGGTACCCCACTTGAGGCTATCACAAATGCTGAGCTCCTACGGCGTATCTGGCCGCGCTCTTCACTAGGTATCTGCGTTCTTGCAGGGAAGAGAACAGTGTCTACATGTGCGTCGCAGCTTATCCTTTAGGCAACCAGTCCTTAGCGGTGTCCCACAGAGCCCGGTCCTTGGACTGACTCTGTTCTCCATCTAGGTAAACGATCTCCATGGAGAGCTTGGGGTATCATCCCTATTGTTTACTGATGATTTTAAGCTATGGAATATTGTAAATGTTCCTGGGGATTCTGAGGCCATACAGCATACCCTGAACAGACTCTGGGACTGGTCTACTTTGTGGCTACTGCCTATTAACCAGGTTAAGTGTTCCGTCCTTCGTATAGGAATTCCACCCCCACCGAGCTACGTACTCGGTGGGGGTGGAATTCCCTCTTGTCTCCAACCAAGTAGACCTACGCGTCGTCCATTTCTTGTCTTTGCATTCTGGTGACAACTGGAAGAAGGCCGCTAGTAGGGGTTTCAGAATGTGTTTAATACGCCGTTCTTTCGGGGTCTTAACTGCCGCGATATTTGTGAAGCTGTTCTCAGCTTTCATTCGGCCCCATCTGGACTACTGCGTCCAGGTTTGCCCGCCCTGCCTTGTTCCGGAACAAAATGGAGCTCGAGAGGTTTTTGAGACTAGGTACCAAATTGATCGAGGGGTTACGGGTCCAATCGTACCCCGAGCGTCTACCTAGCTTGGGTATGTATTCCATGCACTACCGACGGTTTCGAGGAAACCTAATACTTACTTACCGCCTTTTAACAGGGAAGGTTGGACCGGACTTGTGCTGACTATTTAGCCCGGCTAGGTTGACTTGTCTTCGTGGTCATCCCATGAAGCTACAGAAGCCGCGTTTTGACCGGATCAGGGCAGAAACTCGGTTGTCGCGTAGAGTTATCGAGCGCTGGAACTCGCTTCCAGAAAGTGTAGTCAGTGAGCCCACGGTTAAGGGTTTTGATCGTCCGTTAGACGCTCTTGGCTGGTAACACGAAACCTTCCCTTCTAACCTTATCCTTCTTCCAACTTTTAGTTCGCATTCTGTCATTCTCTTCATTCTTGGGTGTTATCCTTCATTTAAGTGACTTTAATTCCCCTTTCTCTTCCATTTTCTTTCTACAAGTGACGTACACAGCGGGGACTGCTAGTGCAGTGAACGTGGCCAGTAATTGGTTGACCGGAGAGTGTTTCGGTGTTTCGTTTTAGATCTATCAAGACCTCCTAGCACCTTAACATTCCCTGTCTCAACGATCCGCTCAAGAAGGAACACTCAAGGGATTTTCCTATCGTTCCAGTCCATCGGAATCGGAATCTGAATAGCCTAGACACGCAGTGGCTGGCCCTGTTTCCCGAAATTTTTGTGCTTCAATGACTGCTTTTAATCTCATTACTTCATGCTAGTGTGTTGTCCTGCTTTTCACCACTATAAAATCAAGAATATTGTATCAAGTTGCGGTGCTGGGGGCTCTTTTTCCCTTATTGGCACACGAAACGGGATGCTCGTTAAGCGGAAACTTGTTGCGTCCCTGCGTCCTGTCCTGCCATTCCTCTCTAAGTGTTCAGTTTCCCTAGCTAGCAACACCCTCTTTGACATTTGCTCATTATGTAGTCCGGCTCTCTCACGGGATTTCCCGGCTCAGTCGACCTTTGCACTATTCTCTTAGTCCCCTCGTGTCGTTTCAATGTCTATATCTCCGGAACATTTTTCCTCCGTGCTTGAGTCCTATATTTCCGCTGCTTTACAACCAAGTAACCTTTGACTCCCTCTCGTCGCAAGCTATTTATACTTACTTATTCTGCGCTCCCTATCCAATTAGGCTGGCTACCTGCTGTTCGCCATTCAATCGCCGCCAGTCTTTGATGGTTACTGCGCAAAAAACAGCAAATTTAAAGCTTTAAGATTGCCCTACGCTTGAATCTGCACAGGAAGGCTACTCCGCATTCCAAAATCGTTCATGTACCTTGTTCTAGGTTAGGATGGAAAACAAGTTTACATATCTCACAGCCTATATCCATGTGTTATCACATATTCACTATAAAGTTCCTTCCCAATGCACTTATACCACTGCTATCATTTCCAATTTACCCTGATTTCCAGACAATTATTCCCTATATGTCACTGGGACTGCACCATACTCATTCGGAATCACTAGGTACGTTTGCGCTCACATCTTTCATTATACAGACACCTAGGACTTGATTTTCTATGGATAATTACACATTCAGCTTCATATTTAACCACTCGTTAATCGTTATATGTTAAATTTTGCATTTGTCGCCGATTCATGGTATAACCACTTAACATTGCCTTTTGGAATTCCTTTAGGAACGCTATTAACATTTCCGAATAGACAGCCTAACTATGCATATATTCAGAGAACACAGAAGTCAGCTGTCCAGACGGACAACAACCCGTATTTAAAATCCCGCCGGTGGTGGGAACTGTCTATTAATGGGCGACTTAATGCACCCAGTGTCGACTGGCACCTTCACTGTGATCTTTGCCAAGATTCCTTTGAGGCTCACTTTCTTGATGCTATTCACGAGTGCAATCTGATCCAGCACATCTCAGCACCAACACGGATGATACCGGGCCAAACACCAAACATACTGAATGTCGTACTCACACCAGCGCTCTCTGATGTCCATGGCCTGAAGATTCTCCAACCACTCGGCAGAAGTGACCACTCTACAATCTCCTTCTTTCGGGCATGCTGTCTTGCCATCCACGATCAGGGGACACACCATCGCAACTTCTGGCGTGTTGTCCCATCCAAATTACAAGAAGTGGCAACCACCACAGACTGGACCATTCCACAATCCTTGAACGTTGGTGGGGTATGATACTTACTAAGCTCGAAGATGATGTCGGTCATGTAAAAAAAATTTCCTATCACCAAGGACAGGCTTTTCCCAAAGGTCCCCCTGGGTCGACCGAGAGGTGAGATGCCAGATGAACAGAGGACGCCAACTGTTGAACATATTCAAGTCAAAACAAGTAACTTCAGATTACTTGAAGTACAAAGTGTTCAGAAATCTGTGCACTAAGAAATCGCCAAAAACTATCACAATGCGAACGCAGCCTAGTCATGCAATCACGAACCTGCCCGAAGAAGCTGTTCTCGTACCTGAAGCGAAGCACCAAGGCTGGCAGTGGTATCCCTGCTCTATCGTGCTAGGAGGAGGACGCAGTACTCTACGAAGATGACGAGAAGGCTCAACTACTAGCCTCCCAGTACTCCTCAATCTACTCCTTGGACCCGTCATTACCCACTGACGATTTGACAACACATTATCCTCCTCTCGAGCAATTGAAAATCAATCGCGAAATAGTCAAGAGACTTATTCTTGAACGGAACCCTAATTCCCACCGGGCCCCGATGAACTTCACCCGCTATTTCTCAAGATGGTAGCAGAATACATTGCTAATCCGATACAACAAGTTTTTTGGCGTTCTCTTGCAGACGGGTGCCTCTTGTCTGACTGGAAAGTAAGGATTGTAATGCCCAAGTATAAGGGAGGGAACCGGCACGGTCCTGCAAACTATCGACCGATATGCCTGACGTCTGTGATCTGCAAGGTCATGTAACCAATCGTCAAACACACCCCCCTTACCCAATGCGGAAGCCTGTGCGCCATCTCCCCCGCTTAGCTAAAATTCCGCAGGACCCTCCTGCATCTCTAACCTCTTAGTTGTCAGAGAAGCAAGAGTCAAAGCAGTAGACGACCGGAGACACTTAGAAGTTATCTACATTGATTTCAGCAAGGCCTTTGACAAAGTTCCGCACAAGCGACTTCTGCTCAAACTCCAGGGAATTGGCGTCACTGAAAACGTCCTTGCATGGGTTGCGGACTTCTTGAGAGATCGGACTTTTCAAGTGAAGGTGAATCAAATGTTGTCTGGCTCTGTGTCTATGACTAGCGGAGTCTCACAACTCTCCCTGGGGCAGGAACTTTTCAAGCTGTACATTAATGACCTCTTTGCAACTCTTCAAGCCGACTGCTTAGTCCATGCCGATGATCTCAAACTATGATCAGAGGTAGCTAGTCTTGAGGACGCGGACAGACCAAACGGCGCTGGACCAGCTGCATAATTGATCCCTCAAGTGGCAACTACCCGTTAACTACGACAAATATGCTTTTCTTCCGATTGGTACCTCGGATTCATTCTGTGTATACCACATTGGCGGATCTCTTTTCAAGAATTTGATGCAAGTGAAGGGTCTGGGGGTCATCTTGTCACCTGATCTTAGCACTTTCAAGGCTAAAGCTCGCGGCTGCAAACGGGATGCTGGGTGCTCTACGAAGGTCGTTTTTCCGTATCCATCCGTTAACTTTCAGAACTCTGTTCGTATCACATATCCGCCCTGCCCCAAGCCATATCAGCAAGTGTGTCCAACCAAACGTGTTCACCGTCCTTAGAACCCCAGCCAGGCAGGCGGGATGCACCAACCGACGCCAACTTCGAAGTGAGGATTTTCATCTCTCTCGACCAAGTCATCGCTTGACCTCCCCTCCTCCTCTTCCAACCGCACTCACCACGCGCAAACAATACACGTCGCGGAAGTCGGTGTGCTGGCATGCGCAGCACGTGGCCCAACCATCGGAGCCTGATGCGTGATATAATGGTGCTGGTCGGTTCACTCGCTCTTCCTGCACCAAATACGCGACGCCGAACACACTCATTGCTCACGCGGTGCTCCCACCAGACATGAGCTAAGTTGCAAGGGCAGCGGTAATCGAATATGACGAGCCTCTTTATGTCTGTCGACCTGATGGGCCAGGTTTCACAACCATATATGAGAGTTGAACGGACGGCTGCGTTATGAACTCTGACGTTCAGTGCGATAGTAATGTCGCGTCTGCGCCACAGGTGGCGGAGATTGGCAAAAACACCTCGAGCTTCTGCTATACGGTTCGTAACCTCATCTTCAATCCCACGGGTGCTAATGTAGCTACCCAGGTACTTAAATTCCCGGACAACTAGCAGATCACCACAAAGCGTTAGCGCAGGGTTGGGTCGCTGCCAATCTTGGAGAAGAACTTTGCATTTCGATGGAGCAAAGCATAGCCCAAAACGATTAACAGCCAGTGCTAATCGGTCCAGTGCTGTTTGGCATGTTTGGGAGCTGTCACAGATTAGGTCAAGATCGTCCGCATATTCAAAGTCAAGACGTCCATCACCAGGAAGTAGCTCCACACCTTTTGTAGTGTTTAGCGAACGCTGTTTCCATGACTTCATCAATAGCGAAGTTAAAGAGGAAAGGTGACAGCAGGCAACTTTGTCTCACACCGCTGGTGATACTGAAGGGTGGCGACAGTTTGCCATAAACCCTCACTCTGCCAGAACTATGCGCGTACAGCGCTTTGATAATGTTTACATATCAGGCACATCTGTCCTCAACAGACAGCCACAAAGGGCACGTCGATCGACTGAGTCGAAGGCACCTTTTATGTCAAGCAACACGACAACGGTGGGTCGCTAATAAACATAGCGGTGCTCCAACAATTGACGCAAGGTGAAAATGTGGTCGATGTAGCCCCGCCCTCGACAAAATCCGACTTGCTCTTCACGAATCTAGTTTTCACGAGTGCTAGTCATTCTGTGGATCATTACAGAGACAAGCAATTTAGAAGCAATCGAAATCAGACTGATCCCTCAATGATTGCCGCATTCCAAACAGGAGTTTCCCTTGAAAGTTGGGACATGACGGAGCGGCTCCAGTCTGTCGGGACAGTCTCCTGCTTCGAAAGTTTCACCAGCAACTTGGGTAAATCATCTATTAGAGCAGGTCCCCCAATTTGAAGAGGGCTTGGGGAATTCTATCTGCCCCTGCGGCCTTATGCAATTTCAACAGCCTGATCTCACGTTCGACTTCTGCGCGTGAGGGCGGATCCAAGGAGACGGCCCAGGGAGAAGGGCGCTCAATGCCCGAAAAAGAAACCGATAACTCAGGTTGGTTAGATTGCCTTGCAAAGTGTTCAGCCCAACGCTCCAAGCGTTTTGACAGGCTGTGGCTCGGCTGCCCACTCTCGTCGCGTATGGTCTCGCTAACACGAGGTCCCCTGCTGCCTGTTTCCCGTGTCAGACGGAATAACTTACGATGATTGCCAACGGCAGCGACTGTTTCCATCTCAGTGGCACGATGAGACCACCGGGTTTCGTGGTCTTCAGGCTAGCATCTAGTTTTGCCCTGGGATTTTTGTGAGCCTCATTGTATTCGCTTCCAACCGGAATACGTCGGCGAGCATCCGTAAGTTCCAGAGGCTGTGTAGAGATCCAATGCCCTGTTTGGCAATTTGCTTTGCCACATGAAGACCTGCCTGCTAAGAGTAACGTTTGACGAATATGCGACCAGTGATCTTCGACGGTGTTGTCAGCGCACTTTGATACACATTCAGAACACCTGGCTTCGCCACCTGGCTGGTGTCAATCCGTTCACATCGACGTTGCTGAGGTCCACCGAAACGCACCCGGAGGTCGGCGCAGACAAGTGCGTGGTCAGAGTCCACGCTCGTGCTCCAAATCGAGTGACAGCCTCTCCAGCTTTAACTGATCGCGATATGATCGATTTGCGTCCATGACTGGCCCGAGGCTGGTGGCCGCCAAGTCACGCTTCTGCGGGTGCTGTGTCGAAAGTTAGTGCTCGCGAGAAAGAGGCGAGCATCTTCACACAGCTGTAGCAGTTGCTCACCGTTATCATTACGGGAGCCTACACTATGTTGGCCGCCCAGATGAAGCTCATCAGAGGACAATTTTCCGACTTGGGCATTTAGATCGCCAGCCAACACCACAGTATCCGTGCTTCTTCTGTAACGAAGCAGATCGTGAAGTTGCCGATAGAAATCATCTTTTACCGAATCAGTGCTACAGTTTGTAGGGGCGTAGGCCGCAATGACAAACAGGCACTGTTTGTCCGCGCGCGACTTCGTAGCACGGAACGAACCAGCTAATCTAACGGTACACATCCTACTGTTTACTAGATGCAGTTGATCAGAGCAGCTTCAGCCCGGGGAATCAAAACAATGCCGACACCAGCTTGACCGGCATTTGAAGCTGCATCATCGCCAGACATGCGCAATGAGAACGTGCCACCATTGTCGCATGTGGGGGATCGTAGGGTAACCACGGAGTTTGGATCTTCCAGGCGGG